CGAATTGCTATTTGATCAAATACGTATGAGCAATCGTTCCACAAATATCACTAACGTCTCAAGGCAGAGCTTAGTACAAAATTAAGGTGTAGTATTGATTCTTTTTATAGAAGAAACGATGAAGTCTGCTGAGGAAATGTTTGGCAAATATTTTGATGGATGATTTTATTGCTGGAAATGAATGGTTTTTGGTATTTTTTGTGAAGTTAGTTGAGGTGGTAAATGATGTGTGACTTTTATAGAATACCTATCTTAGTACTATTGGGATGATGACTGGGTATGAAAATTAAAAATCTAATTAGTTCGTAAGTTAGGTAATGAATAAATATTAGACACGAATTTTTTTATTTTGTCGTATAATAAAACAATACTTCGATAAAACGAATCACAGTTTAGGAGTGGGGGCTAAAACGTCATTTCTACGTATAAAATGTATGTACATAGAAGTGACGTCACGCGACATTTCAAATCAATATATCGTCGAAAGTATTCGTTTCTGTAAGAAAATAAAAAATACGTGTCTAATGAAAATAATCTACCAGACGGACATTAAAATAAAAATTAGGCATCTATCCTATTGTGGTACTAAATAGCATAGCAGTTTTTCCTGTTGTATTGCCTACCTATTCAAGTCAAAAAAATTGTCAATATCAAGGTCACATAATCATTTTAACGTTATGACAAAATTAAAAATCTGATTTTGAGGAGAACATTTTCTTACTATAATCTTAATCTACCACTCAATTTACAGACTTAAACCAAAATCAATTTTCTTAAACCTGAAATGGCATTAAAATTAATCTTTTAACTAAACCAACATAAATTCACGAGTCATTTTCGTTTAAACACTCTCAGGAGTCCTTTAAGTGAATTCATTATATGATATTTGTATAGGATTAACAATTCTGTGAACAATCCTGTACGTGCTAGAATCCTTTGGCTGAATTTGTTTTACATAGAAACTACAAATCAGAATACTGCGCCATCTAGTTTAAATAAAGAAGTCTAACACTGTGTATTTGAATCCTAGTCCTTCGCAGAGAACCTAACGGGTAACCGGGGCTCCGGCTCGACGTGCAGGAGAAGGAACGGGGTGGTTTTTAGTCAGTAAGAGTCTGACACTCCCTTCCGCCTCACCCAGGCGGGAGCAGTCATTCGATGATTTTCCCCCCTTAAAAAAAAAAGTCCTACTAATATTATAAATGCGAAAGTTTGTGAGGATGTATGTGTGTGTGTATGTGTGTGGATGTGTTTGTTACTGCATCACACAAAAATTACTGATCGGATTTAGATGAAACTTCACAGTAATGTAGGTCATACATCAGAATAACATACAGGCTACAATTTGTAATGACTTTATGTTATTTTGGGTGTAATATAACACAAAATGTGAGCCAAATCCGGTCTCTGAGACCTATATCGGCGAACGCTGCCTAAACCATAGGAGTTACACTAAGATAATGTACTGTAAGATTGATTGTCTTGATTAGTACTATTACAGTTATAATTGAGTAAATATTACAATAATTATTAATGGGTTTATAGGTAATTATGTGTATTGTCTTACTTTTTGATAGCATATTTACTCTACGTAGCCATGAATCAGTAGCTCAAGAATGAGGTTTCAAATTCAATTTTGATTTTTGAGGAAATATAAAGTTTGAACTGCGTTTAATGTATTTTGCGCCTTATTATGACGTAGACCACTGTGAATTCGATTCTTATTTGGTAAACCTAATTTGAGATGTTTTTTTTTTTGTTTAAGATATATAACTTTTCCTCAAAGACTGAAATTTTTTAAAGCAAAAGCGCACCTCTGGAATTCATAGAAATGTGAAAATATTTTTCAATATTGTTATCAAAACCCGTACCCCATTTGACGCGTATTCTCAATTATTATCAGCACAAAAGTTGGCACACACAAAAAAAAATCCAAGAAAATCAGTTCACAGCATTTCACCGATGCGATATGAATTGCGATAAAACAAAAAATAAAAAATCCAATAAAGAACAATAGCGTTTCCGATTAAACGAACGTAAAACAAATCGTACGAAAATTAAATTCACAATCTTTAATAGCTAGCAGTAATTGGTATTGAACATTGAATCAGGCTTCAAAATTGTAGCTCAATTTTAATATTGAACCTTTTAAACCTCTTTCGCACTATAGGTTATTAATAAATCGAGACTTGCATTTATTGGTATGATCTTCTATAATTGGGGTAATATTATTTTACTTAATTTATAATTTTGTGTTCTTTTATGTGTAAATTCAACATCATCATCATCAGCCTATTAATAAGTGCCCACTGCTGAGCAAAGCCTCTTGTCACACGGATTCTTTGAGCATCAATCACCACATTTGTTCAATACGGGTTGGGGATTTCAAACTTCTAGTTAGAAATTGTAGGTCCAGGTTTCTTCACGATATTTTTCTTCTCTATTTTTCGGTGGTGTCTAAATTATTTTTGAAAGTAGATGTAACTCGAAAAAAGTCGCATTGGTACTAGCCGTTGGCAGGTTTTGAACCGGCATGGCACCCTCGTGCATGAGAAGCGGGCCTTGTAACCTCCGGACTACCACGATAAACAATGTGGTAACTTTAATTGTCACGGTATAGTATGGAAACAATAAACCTCATTTTATTTATTGTATCCAAGAAAACCAAATTCAAATCTGATAGTTTCCCTTTCTCTGTATCTTTTTGCTAAACTTTTGATAACTCTGAAATAACATGGGAGTTTGAAACTAGTCACACGTTCGTACCTAGATAAAAACTATGCCTCGTACTAAATAGAAATTTAACGTGTTTAGTCAAATAGTCATAACTTTTGATCCAATATTATTGGACAAACATTCCCAAACGCAAAAGATAAGGACTGACTTCTTCTATGGCCATGTTCACTTTGATCCATATTTCCAGGGACACTGTAAATAAAGTTACGTTTTTTTTATGGCATAAACCGGTAAACGAACAGACGGATCAGGTGATCCGTCTGCTCGTTTACCATCAGCTGACGGTAACCAATCGGCGTCGCCCATTGGACACCTGGAACACCAGAGGCTTTACAAGTGCGTTACCAGCTTTTTGGGGATTAGAAGTTTGAAGATCGTTGGGGATTCAGGGATTGGGGAGTTTGGGGAAGGTGAGGGTAATTAGGCGTCCGGTAACCTCACTCACACGACGAAACTCAATGCAAGCGTTGCTTCACTTCGGTTTTCTGTGAGGCCGTGGTATCACTCCGGTTGAGACGGCCCATTCGTGCCGAAGCATGGCTCTCCCACACTTAAATACAAACTCGTAATACTACACGTAATACAAACTCAATCTAACACACGTTAAAGGAAACCATTTAACTCCTTTCTAATCACCAATGCAGTTGTTAACATCCACATCAAACTATTGAAGTCTCAATTATAATGCCTTCTCATGTCAACCCGGCAAGCAGACGATAAAACTCGATCGTGACTGATTGCTTGACAGTTCGCAATCACGAAGTCTTCTTTATTTTGATGGGTGCCAGTTAGAATCGATGTTTTATTGTCAGTCAATTTACTGGCGATATGATTAATACTGGTTTTAAGAAAGGTTTAGATTCGAATTGAAGTGTTCTGAATTGATGATCGTTTATGAAAAGAATGATAATATTTATAGAAAGATGAAGAAGTGTATTGTAACTTTCATGAGACATACTAAATAAATTATTATGTTTTCGGCTTACTCACGTCGCGGGTCGCGAAATGCTGCTCATGAATATGAGCCTCTAGCATGGCTTGAAACTAGTCGAGTTCTTCGTCAAATTACTACGTGAATAAGCCGAAAACATAATAATTTATTTTATAAGTCTTATGTAATAGAAAGTGAGTTTATTTTTGTATACCAAATACAATTCCAAATTCTATAATTTGGCTGAGATACACCAACAATACTTATTCCATTTGGGAATTGAGCCTGGAAACCGTTTCATAATAACCACACTTGTGACTATGTATTGTCATCAGATTCCTTTTTTTTATATTTTATCACCCCTGTCTAAACCCAATAAGACACAAACGTGGTCATACGTAGACATTAGGAAACAGATGACGTAAGTACTTATGCTAAAAATCTTGTAGAAAATCTAGAAAAGAAACTGAGTCACGAACGAAAATTGAGAAAGGTATGCTAAGATTGTTTGGTCATGTTGAAAGAATGAATGAAAGCGGGCTTACGAAAGCAATTTGTAAAAGGGATGTTAGTAATAATACTTATGTAGAAGCTGGTATAAGAGAAAATAGTACTTAGTCTCGTTAAAGAAAACTACTGCAACATTACGCTGAAGGACTTAGTTTGTATACCGAGTATTTGACTTACTTTTTGCAAAACGTAATCTCTTGAAACATCACTTCTATTGATGATAAGGTTTTCTTTCAATCGACAAAGTGAACTCAAACTTCAAATTATGGTAAGTACAAAGTAAATCATTATCGAGCATCAGTATAGTCAATGCCAGTCTACTACTTTATTATTAGTTAGTTATCTTTATACCACAAAGGTAAGTCCCACTAAACTGTGGGGTCAACGAGTCTCTAGTCATTATAATTAAATGTACTTATATACTTTGTTATATGTCGATGCTTGCCAGGCTGGTTAAAGATCATAGTTTAATTAATAGGTTCAAACATCGACATATACTAATGGACATGCCTTGGAGATGAGAATTGTGGCACTTCGAAAGAAAGAGAGGAAATGAGGTTTCGGTCTATCTTTATCTCTCTCAAAATAGTACCGTAGTTAAGACGTTATGAGCGAGAAAGAGATAGCGCTAGACCGAAAGTATAGGCCATCTCTCTCACTCTTTTCAAACCAAAAAATTACTGCAGATTATACGCGTACGGCATGTCCATTAGTATATGTCGATGGGTTGAAATGTATAGAAATAAAGTAAATATAATCCTGAAATCGAAGGACCGACAACACTCTATAATTATGATCATAGTAATGAAGGAGAAAAACTGACCTGTTTTAGCATGAGTGCAGGTAAGCGAGATGACACAAATGAGTGTCAGCACTAGGTTTGAGGTCTTCATATTGAACACTTTACACTTAAGTCACTTGCATTTTCACTGAACACCACTATGTTTATCTGCAACAAAAAAAAATACTCAATTAGATAATGTTATAATATTTGAAACAAAAAAGTGAAATATAGCTTCGTACCTAAGCCAGTTAACCAAAAATGTCGTGCGATACTGTCAACACTTTTTTTATGGGGGGGAAATCATAGAATGACTGTTCCCGTCTACGTGAGGCGGGAGGGAATGTCAAACTCTTACTTACTAAAAACCACCCCGTTCTTTCTCCTGCGCTTCGAGCCGGAGCCCCGGTAACCCGTTAGGTTCTCCGCGACATACTGTCAACATTAGCACCACAATGAGATTGATTACCATTATCAATTTTAATTCTCTTTATTAATGTGACCGAATTTCTGCGTAGTAATATTAAAGTTTACTTCTCTAGTTCAAGCCCAATGAATTGCCTCTAGGACACTACCTACATAACTTACAAACCAGAAAAACGCTAAGCCTTCATGTAATAAACGGCCTAGTTGACCCCATACTGACATGTTGGAATGTATTTAATGCTTGTACTATTTCCAACGATGTAGCCAGAATGTGGAATAACATTCCATCTCGTCAATACAAGTCAGAAAGATGACCTAAATCACACGTACGAAGCGCCTCGGGCTTTCCGTTACCCTAAATACGAAGATAAAAGATTTTTTGGTGTCGAGTCTAGAATTTTCGGTGTGATTTATTACTATAAAATATATAATATCACGTATTTTTATTCCTTTGAAGTATGCCATTTAGGACATACTTTTTGCTAGTCATATCGGTGTTACAACTTCTAAGTAAACCCTATTAAAAAAGAGTAACCTATGGAGTTTCTTGCTCGTTCTTCTCCATAGAAAACCTTGGAATGAGCTTCACTTCAAAATTTTTTTTGTAGTTGACGTTCAAAAGTGCCTTCCTGGTCTAATTGAAATAAATGATTTTGACTTTAAGCCATTTACAATTTCAAGCGTAACTGAATTACAATCAACAAAATACAACGAATTTCTGACAAAATATGGTTAAAAATATTCCCAATTCTGAATTCAATAGACTGAAGAAGGGCAAAGCTAATGAATGCGATAGTATGACGCTAGTAGACATAACACAAAGTTACGACGGTCAAGAGTGTTTTACCATCCTACATGTAGGTACTGGCAAGACACTTCAGAATGAATCACAAAACACTCCAGCCTTGCTTTATCGTCTCACACGAAATAAAGGCTTTGTGAAACAACTATATAATAGGTTGAAACATATGAACGAGCAGTTATTACGTATTGCTCACGCATTTGCGACCACAAGCAAGCTTTGTGAGACGCGACCTCTTTTTATCTTCCCCTTTTTCTGTATCGAAAGGCCTTTGTTTGTCATACCGAGCTACGGCAGCGATTTAGCAATTTTCCGGTGCCAAATAGACGTATTATTGGTACTGCTACCCCACGTTTATTTTTGCTAATGTCATGTTATTACCCGTATGGCGTTTTTACAAATTGAATTCTGTTTAGATGAGAAAAGGGTTGGGTTTTTATTGGTGTTAAGATTTTTTATTATTGTTGATGGGTGTTAGATTCTTGCTTGTATTAAATAATGTTGTGTTGAAATTTCAGAGTTGAGTTTGGAAGCACTTAGGGCTGTTTTTTCAATCGTAAGTAAATTCTTAATTATAGTATTTTAGTATGGAATAATAGTCAAACATTGAAGGTTATTTTTCAGTCAAAATTTATCATTCGAAAAATCGGCCATTAGTAACACCACTAATTATTATTACGGTTCTTAGACTCCTTCCAAATCTTGTTAGTTCAACAAATTGAAAACATAATCTTAATTTCGAAAACACTTTTCTAAAACCATTTACTTTACTCCAAAGTCAAAGAAACTTACAAGACAAGAAACTTTTTAGTTCCAGTTCATCAGTTTCATAATATAACCAGACGTTTTACTTAGAAACTTGCCAAGTGAACCTCATTAGTCAAATAAAATATCACAAAGGACTAGTATTACTATGAATTATCACACAATTCAATTTAACAATGAACTTTAAAAGTATGAGATGGCTTTCTATAGAGCACTTAGTTAATATTTTATTTTATTTGTTTATGCTCTCTCTGTGAACCTTAACTACATTAGGGATGATACTAAATGTTTTCTATGTTTACGAAGTCTATTACATTCCATTACTCATCATCATCAACAGCCAATAACTAGCCAATCCTGGCCTCTTCTCACACGGAGAAGGTTTGAGTATTAATCACCACGCTTGCTCAATGCGGGTTGGTTCAAACTTATAATTAGAAATTATAAGCTCCGGTTTCCATACGACGTTTTCCTTCGCCGTTTGCCAGTGGTGTCTAAATAATGTTAGGAAGTATATACAACTTGGAAAAAGTCACATTGGTATTTGCCGTTGATAGGTTTCAAACCCGCATGTTTGTGCATGAGGCACGAGGGCGCGGGGCTTAAACCTCCAGGCCACCACGACACTCCATTACTATGGAATATATTTCACGTATAAAACCTATACTTGTCATGACTGGAGTTGTACTATGGCTTCGCAGAAAACTGACATGCCACAAAACCTGTATAAAATGTGTTTCAATGTGAAGCTGACGTTATCGGAGGTCCAGTCTATCACTATTCTACCTCTATATCACTACCCTTTTCCCATATTACGATTCCCAAAATTGTGACTCCTCTGGTGTTGCAGGTAAGTATCTATTGTCGGCGCTGATAGCTTACCATCAGTAATCCTTCTGCGCGTTTGCCTCCTACTCTATATTTTTAAGCACGATCTATTGTAATGATGTTGCAAAAATGATGACCTACAGGTACCTATTTAAACTTTTTAATACTTTTTTAGTTCATTTAAAATATTTTGAGATAAATAAGTTTGGGTTACGATGTGGCTGACGTAGCCTATTAGTTAAATACTTCTAAAAAAATAGATTATATTGAAAATAAATTAAATTCAAATCATTATAGACCTTACTATCACAACGTTGTCTCTCTGGGAAACAACAGATGTGACGCTATGTACACACACTGGACGTAACTAGCAGGAAAGTGAATACCGGTGTGGTATATGAAACTAATATTCGTTTGAAAGCGGTTGCATGTTGCTCATTACTGGACATCATTAGTTATATGATATTTTGTTTGTTTATTGTTACTGTTATCGTATTTAATGGAGCAAATAATGATTTTTAGATACTACATTGTACGTATTATCCTTTCTGGTCTAATTGAAATAAATGATTTTGAATTTTTATAATAACTATCGTGAGCCATACTAAATTAAGTAAAAACGTTTTTAAGTACTTAAAATTATTTTGACTTTGACTTTGTGACGTAGGCACAAATTGCTCACTGGTACTCAAATAGTATTATGAAGAGTGAAGCTTTTGTTTATCAATTCTAAGCCCTGTGCTACAACTGAGTCTTCCCATATCAAAGAACAAATATCAAGTCAATATGTCATAAAATCCAGTATAATATGTCTTTCAGAATATATATCTGCATTCAATCTTATATGACCTAAAAACATTAATACACAAAGCATTAACTGACAAACGCAAAAAAGAATTTTAATTTATTTTCCAACGTCAATACTCAAAGAACAATTTACGTCACCGTTAAATAACATCATTAATTTAAATATTATTCATGAAACTTCACCAAAACAGTCAGGCAAACGAAATATTCCTTCATTACCAGAACCGGAATGGTAATGACGCGCCCAAAATATTCCATTTCATAGAGAATCGGGTGCGTCATTATTAATAAAGGTGCATAATGCGACAGCCAGAGAATAAAGTAACGTGACGGAAATGAAACCGGTAATTATGACAGATACGTCGCGATGAATTGACAGTAACATGACAATTGACAGTTCGGGCTTATGGTAATGACGGTGACGTGTAAAAATATATATTTTGGACGCCATTCAGGGCGGTAAATGTCTTTTAAATTATGTTTTTACAGTTGGGCTATAGAGTTTAGCAGGAAAATAATATCCAAATAAACGAAACATCGAAATTTAGGGCTTTAGCGGTGTTTTAATATTGTTTTCTAAGCAAGCAAGGGAAGCTGTTTGTGGAAACGCCTTATTAAATATAATTCTAGTTATTCCGATGTATAATACCTTCAGAGATCATTCAAGACAGTAAAAATGGAGTGTGTATCTAAATTTGTATAAAATAAATTTATAAAATGTATTTTGCATCAGTCATTGTTTTCATTTTTGAGCTTAGCAGATGGCGCTAGTGACGTGTATAGTCTTGTCCGTCTTGTGATTATCGTCTGATACTGTCAGAATTTAAATACCCAAAACTTTTGCGATACCTATAAAAACTTTTGATGCTTCATAAAGTATAACAAAATTATTGAAAATGCATAAAAATACTTAACAATCTGATGGAATGCCATTTACAAAATAAGTACCGTACGAAATTTAAAATCCCCATTTCAACTTGAATTTACGGTCTCGGTACCGTTGAGATTACGTCAAAATTTCAAAGGGGAAATATATTTGGAATGTCGACGGCGATACGGTGCCCCTTTCTCGGTACCACGGCACTTTGGACCGCAACGGATGGCACCTTGACATTTTCGCTTAGGCTCGAAATAAAACTACAAAAACCGGGGTAGGGTTTAACCGTTGACGGGGGCCGTGAGTGACTGAAGAATCGTGATTGTGATTCGTTGGAATTCTTTTATTTGGTATTGTATTACAATTCCGACTGTGTAGAGACATTTTATTTACATTGAATGGGGTTTTGTCTGACCACTATGTTATCTGAAGGGTAGATCAATGACGGAAAAACGGTTTTCGTTTAGGTCGCTATGTTGTTTATTACTTCTTTTGGTGGTCTAAAATAATAAAACAGAATTTAGCTAAGTCTATTGTTGTTAACAAATGAATTAATGAATAGTAGGTACCTACTCTGTTGTGGCAATTAGAACATTATTTTATTATG